AATGCTGAGCTCCAATAATTGTGACCCTACAATAATTGTGACAATTATTGTAGGCTCTGGAGGCTTATAAAGGGGACTACACTAAAACTGAACAGCACACCGGTATGCAGTATTCGTTATACTGTATTCGGATTTCCAACAGTGAAGAGAGGTATGGCCAAAAGAGGGGGTTGCACTATGAGAGAGATACAAGATATAGTGGTAGGGATGGTGGCCAAGAGGGGTATACCTCCAGGGCCCTAGATATCAGACTTTGGAGTCTGATTCAGAGTCCAGTCAGACTTATTTTTTTGTACCTAGTCTGAAGTCAAAGAATTTTTTTAAGCACCCTGTCTGATTTTTCAGAGCCTTTTTTAATATTTGTCTGAAATTTCAGACTACTTTTATTAGTTTACGCTGAGCCTCAGACTTGTATCGGGGGTGCACTCTGAAACCGATAGTACAGGGGTTTGCGCCAGCCTGGCGGCGTGTAGCACTATCTCTGTCAATCACAGGCGGGATCCCAGAAATTTCGCCAGCGCGGCACCACTATGTCGCGTTGGTACAACATTGTTGTAAACAACACCAATTCCAACCAATCGCGGCTGCGCAGCAGGCAGTGTTGGCAAGATTCCTTGCCAACACTAAGCTCGCAGCGCGCTTCACCGACGTTTGACACCACGACCAGCCACCACACCTCGCCTTCATTGTTGCCAGCGCATAGCTGGCAGCGCGCTGCCACTCTCACTTCACCACATCCATCCACCCCACCCCACCTTCCACGTTGCCAACGCATAGCTCGCACCGCGCTGCTACTCTCAGATGACCACATCCATCCACCCCATTCACCCCACCTTTCCAGTATTCACGCCCAGGTGCCGTGCATGCAGTGACCACCTGGGAGATGAGAGGTCCTAATACGAGGACCTCTCAACTTCCTCATGGTCACCGTGCTTGACAGTCTCTCTCGCGGCTCTACGTTTGCCTGGCCTGAAACTAGTGCAGGAGCCATTGTTTCAGGCTCCCTTTTCCTAGCTCGCTACACCACTGCTCGGCAGGCTCAATGGCTGCCATAGAGGCTGTCGATGCTGAGCCCGACGAGGAGGATGATGCTGATGTTTGCTCATATTCCGACCCACTCACCGGTCTAGACTTTCTTAGGTCAATCCTACCGAAGCATAATCCACCGCAAGCGCCACCGTCGCAACCCAGCTCTAGTCGCCCATCGATTCCCGCAGACTCTGCACCTCTGCACGAGGCCGTCGCTGAACCAGCGACAGCTGCGCAACAGGCGGTGCCCCATGTGGCATCCGTCGGAGCGCCCTCTCGTCTCGCGCCACCGACGAAGCTGCGTTATCGTCAGTCCACCATTGCGTGGGCAACACCACCTCCTCCATCGACCGTTGAAACTCCTGCGAGCAACGAATCTCCCATGCAGGATAGGTCAAAGCCCACGCGGGCTAGCTCAAAGCCCAAGGCCGACACGCCCGAGTTGAAATGCGAAGAAGCTCATGAGCGGTTCAAAGCCAAGTGGTCCACCGATTACAGTTGGCTTGTTCTAACTAAAACCTCTTCTGGTGCTCCTTCTTTCAAGTGCAGAGTTTGCTTGGAGTTTTCGGGATTGAATGGCAAGTGTGGGCGGCGTACCGAGGGAGCTACCGATGTGCAGACACAGTCCCTCAAGAAGCACGAAGGGACGGTGAAGCACCGATTTGCTCTGCAGCGCCAGGACGGCTTGTTCCAGAAGTACGGCAACCAGCAGCGCATTGACATGCACCCGAAAGCGCAGGACTTGGAGATGCTGCAGATGTCGTCGCTCGTGGACTCGCTGTACTTCATGGGGAAGTGCAACGAGCCCATGGACTCGTGGATCCGGCTGGTGCGCTACCTGGCGAAGAAGAAGGTGCCCGGGTTTCCCGAGCAGGGCTACGGCACGTACTACAACACGTAAGTAATGTCGGTAGCATGACTATTATTATTTTATCCTAAGACTGTTGCTAATGACTTCGTTTTCAATGTGTAGGTACGGCTTTGGAGAAATCACCCAAGCAATTGCGACGTGGCTCCAAACAACGCAACTGGAGCACCTTCTAACGAGCCCATTCATCGGGATAACGCTGGACGAGAGCACCGACCGTCGCCGCGGCAAACACATGATTGTGTTTGCCACATTTCTCCGCGATGGCCAGGTTGTCACAGAGTGTATCGCCCACCTGACGATTGATAAGGCTGACGCTGCTTCTTTGTGCAGTTTGTTGGTTTCCCACCTCAGGGCTGTCGGCGTTGACCTTCGGCGTATCTCGGGAGTGAGCACGGATGGCGCCTCTATGATGGTGGGAAGTCAAAACAGTGTGGTTGCTTGCCTGCGACTGCTCATCCCCAATCTGGTCTCGTTTCACTGCATCGCTCACAGGTGCGTTTGTGATTTAATGCCCGAATTATACGTCTGGGTTTTTTTTATCATTCTCTAACCTTCTGTGTAGTTCTGTTTGGCAGGGAGGCGTTGGCTGCCAAGGCCGCAGCGGAGCAGATACCAACCTTCAACATGGTTGACGACGTCATCCGCGCCGTCGCAGAGTACCTCGGGCGATCGTCCCCGTGGCATCAGCGCTTCATGGAGCTGCAGGAGGTGTTCACCTCCACCAACCTCGAGGTCCAAGGCATACACGACGTGCGGTGGCTTTCAAGAGGAGCTGCAGTCACCCGGTTTGTCCAAGTCCTTCCAGCGATCATAGTGATGCTGTCGCAGTGGAAGGACCAGACCATGTACGAAATCGTCACTTCGTGCAGGTTTCAGTTCCTCATCAGGTTTCTCGCGGACCTACTGCAGCAGCTCAACGTCCTCTCCTCGGTTTTCCAGCAGCGGGAGGTAAGTTACTTACCGCTAGTTTTGGTTGCTAGTTTTGGTTTCAATGTCATCTGCTTTGTACTAATGTATTTTTGAATGGGTATGCTGCAGCTCGACTACGCGCTGGTGCACACGCAGATTGTGCGCACAACATCGATCTTGGAGAGCCGGTACGTCGACTGTGGCGATGACTTCGGGGGAGGGCCGACCGAGAGGTTCTACCGCTTCATTGAGAAGCACAGTCCGCGTGGGTCACCAGAAATGGTGGTCGAAGGAGCCTCGTCCGACGGCAGTCTCAACCGCTTCACGGTGAAACTTCACGAGCGCACCAACCCGAACTATCGTGGGCCCGGTCATCACGACGCCTGCGTGGCTCTCTGCACCGATATGGCCGAGCATGCCGTCGAGAACCTCCAGTCCAAGCTCGGCGACCTTGACTCGCTTTCTGGTATGCGGCTGTTTATTTCAGAAATGTGGCAACCGCATTGGGACCGGGACGCACGACAGGCACAGTGCCTGGAGTGGCTTCTGTCGCTTGTCACGTTGTTTCGCGCAGATGAAGCCGACGAGATCTTACCAGGTCAATTTAAGTGTCACCCTGTTCCCCTTTTGTCATCGGTTTTAATACTAAACCGTGTCATGTTTTACCTTGCAAGCATTGACAAGAAGAAAGCCGTGAGGGAGCTTCGGACGCTGTGTCCAGTCCTTGCCAGAGCGCCGAAGAGCGAGCGAAAGTTCCACACGGGACTTACCGCAATTCTCAGGACACCCGACTGGCAGCAGGCGTACCCCAACCTGGTCGGACTTTGGGTGGCGATTGCAGTGCTGCCTCTCAGCACGGTTGAGTGTGAGCGAGGATGCTCCTGACAGAATCTCATCAAAACATGGCAGAGGGGCAGCATCAAGGATTGTAGGCTGAGTGATCTGCTCTATATATCCATGCTAGACTACGAGCTAGATGTCCCAGGAGTAGTAGAGATTTGGCGCAGCTACAAGAAGCGCTGGCCGGTCACAGCACCTAGTTCAAGGCACAGGGAGGAACCCCCAAGGGCTGGTAAGGAGCATGTAGATGAGCCAGTAGCAGAACGTGCTCTTGTACAATCTCTGTCGGACTCTAATGCAGACATGTAAAAAATGTTCAGTAGTGTTTTCATACAGGAGCGAAAATTGACTGCTAGTCTGTAAGATCAGAGTTGCAATGTTTGTTAACTCTGAACTTTCAGACTCAAAAAAATAGCTAACTCTGACAGCCAGACTAGGAAGAGGGGTGTACTCTGAGGCCTCAGACTAGCTCAAAACGAATGTAGGGGCCTGTATACCACCAACAATAGAATCCTAAATGATACTACACTAGCTAAGTTACATGCAGTTACATTATAATATAAATATATTTTAACAGTAACGTGTGATTGGGAGTTAGGGGTGAATACCGTAATTACCCGACTAATAGCCCCCCCAAAATTATAGCCCCCCGGGTTGTTAAATGGGGGCGGGTCTAATGCTATCTCCACTTTTGTAATAAACCCCCTTTTTTGTAACGAAGCCGCTTTAGACCCCCCTTCTTGTAGCCGCTTTAGTATCGAACTGAGCTGTAGGAAGGTCGAAGTCAAGGAATTCCAAGATTCCAGCTGACATCAGCCTTTCGACCACGCGTTGGTCTTGCGCCAGCGCGTGGTCGAAATTTGCCCTTGACGCGATACTCGAAAAGAGCAGTCGCGGTTGGTTAGTGCCTTTGTCTACTTGGTGAGATGTCAAAAACCATTTGTATCGTTATCGAATTTCCATCTTTTATATTGTATAATTCACACTGAAGGTAACATTCACGATAGCGGCACGTGCCTGCCACTTCCAAGTTTGCCGCCATTGCCGCTGGCCCCTAGTCGCTCGCTCTGCTGCCAGTAAAGTCACGTAGTTAGCATCGACGGTTTTCACAGTGACTCCTCACACCACCGACGATCTCAGCCGTTCGCCCTTAGCGCGCGCTCCCATAGTGGCTGTTCCCGACGTGTCGTTTGGCCGTCTTCCTAGTCGAAATTCGTTGGATCAGAGAAACGATTGCCTAAGAAGTTACCGTTTCGAGTGGAGTCCGTGCGAATCCCGTCACCCCGCGCCCGCCGAGTCGAGCCGAACCGAGCCGTGCGCGCGCTTTGCTAGGGGCCGAGCCGAGCCAGGAATGGACGAGTCGGACCCAATCGTTTCACACCGTGCCGCCGATCGCGGCGACGACAGCGGCAGCGGCGGCGGCGGCGGCGGCGACGGCGTTTATCATGCTTCTCCCGCGGGCCGCCAACGGCCACGTGGCTGCAGCGCCGAGAGGTGGGTCGCGGTGATCGCCACGTGGCTGCTGCGCCGCTGGCGTGAGGGGTGAGTCGCTTAATAACTCGACGCGGCGACGCCCCGCGTTTGCCGCTGCGCTGATGGCGTGAGGGGTGGGTCCGGATCTCGAGCGACCAATAGCAGCTTCGTTGGGTCGAGTCGCCTCAAAATCCGCCTCGCTGCTGGCGTGAGCGGTGGTTCTGCTTCAGGACTTTTGAAAGTATTAGAACTCTCAGAAGTAACACTGCAGAATTCTCCTCCAACAGTATCCCTCGCTGCTGGCGTGAGCGGTGGCTCTGCAGAATTCTCCTCCGAAAGTATCCCTCATTCTCCCACTCTCTTACTTGTCCTTCTGCGCCATCAACATGGTGAACTACATCGACTGGGGGGCCATTGCCACCTATAGGGTCCCTCACTCACTGCCACTCCTGTTGGTCCGTATCCCCCCTTCCCTACCCCCTCCTTCGGCCAGTCTCTTACTTCTCTTCTGCGCCATCAACATGGTGAACTATATTGACCGGGGGGCCATTGCCAGCAACGGAATCAACGGATCGCCTTCGCACTGCCAGGGGGACATGTGCGATGCTGGCAGCGGCATTCAGTGAGTGGTAGGGGCAGTGGGTGAGTGGTAGGGGCAGTGGGTGAGTGGTAGGGGCAGTGGGTGAGTGGTAGGGGCAGTGGGTGAGTGGTAGGGGCAGTGGGTGAGTGGTAGGGGCAGTGGGTGAGTGGTAGGGGCAGTGGGTGAGTGGTAGGGGCAGTGGGTGAGTGGTAGGGGCAGTGGGTGAGTGGCGTTCATTGTTTTTGCGTGATTGCACTGCACTGCGGTTCTTATTAGTTGCTCTCCTTGTCGCACTGTCAGGGGGGCATCTGTGACTCTGACAGCGGCATTCAGTGAGTGGCTGGTGGGGGCAGCTGCTGTGTGGTGTGATGTTCAGTGTCTCTCCATTGACGAAGAGACACAGTTGTCCCGAGCTTCAGTGTCTCTCCTTGTCTCACTGCCAAGGGGAGGGGGGAACATCTGTGACTCTGACAGCGGCATTCAGTGAGTGGCTGGTGGGGGTGGGGGCAGCTGCTGTGTGGTGTGATGTTCAGTGTCTCTCCATTGACGAAGAGACACAGTTGTCCCGAGCTTCAGTGTCTCTCCTTGTCTCACTGCCAAGGGGAGGGGGGAACATCTGTGACTCTGACAGCGGCATTCAGTGAGTGGCTGGTGGGGGTTGGGGCAGCTGCTGTGTGGCTGTGTGGGGCTTGTGACCCACCCGATCGCTCTGTAGCGTATCCCAACAACACTCAACCTCTCTCAACCCCTCCATAACAGGGGCGACTTAGCTCTCTCCAACTTTCATTAGTGGGGCTCCTCACTGCCTCGCCTCTCTGCGCCGATGCCTCCCTCCCCCCCTCCGCCAACTCCCAGGGCTGACTTTGCTCTATCCAACTTCCAGGACGGCTTGCTAGCCACAGCTTTCCTAGCGGGCCGCCTCACCACCTCGCCACAACCTGTCTAACCTAGTCCAGTAACACCCACCCACTCATCCCCTTTCTCAGGGGCGATTTCGCCCTCTCCAACTTCCAGGACGGTCTACTAGCAACGGCCTTCCTAGTGGGTCTCCTCACCGCCTCGCCTCTGTTCGCCCATGCCTCCAAGCGCCACAACCCTTTCCGTCTCATCGCTCTCGGCCTGCTCGTCTGGACGCTCGCAGTGGCCGGCTGTGGCCTCTCCCCCGGCCTACTATCTCTCCTCCTCTGCCGCATGTAAGCACTCTCTCCTCCCTCCCTGTCTCTCTCTTCTCGCCCATGCCTCCAAGCGCCACAACCTCTTCCGCCTCATCGCCTTCGGCCTGCTCATCTGGACGCTCGCAGGGGCGGGCTGTGGGCTGCCCCTCGGCCTGCTCTCCCTCCTCCCCTGCCACGTGTGAGTGGGCGCCCCCCTTCCCTCCACTAACTCTCACGTTGACGCTAGCAGTGGCGGGCTGCGGGCTGTCCCTTGGCCTGCTCTCCCTGCTTCTTTGCCGCATGTGAGCATGCCTTCCTCTCCTCTCGTTCCCTTCCTCTCCTCTCGTTCCCTTCCTCTCCTCTCGTTCCCTTCCTCTCCTCTCGTTCCCTTCCTCTCCTCTCGTTCCCTTCCTCTCCTCTCGTTCCCTTCCTCTCCTCTCGTTCCCTTCCTCTCCTCTCGTTCCCTTCCTCTCCTCTCGTTCCCTTCCTCTCCTCTCGTTCCCTTCCTCTCCTCTCGTTCCCTTCCTCTCCTCTCGTTCCCTTCCTCTCCTCTCGTTCCCTTCCTCTCCTCTCGTTCCCTTCCTCTCCTCTCGTTCCCTTCCTCTCCTCTCGTTCCCTTCCTCTCCTCTCGTTCCCTTCCTCTCCTCTCGTTCCCTTCCTCTCCTCTCGTTCCCTTCCTCTCCTCTCGTTCCCTTCCTTTCCTCTCGTTCCCTTCCTCTCTCTTGCACTCGCTTCCTATCAGTCTAGCAGCGCCCTTCATAGACGACAACGCTCCACCGGGAAAGACAGCCCAGTGGCTCGCCACATTCTACCTCTGCATTCCCGTCGGCTTTGCCCTCGGCTACCTCTACGGGGGGGTGGCTGGGCCACTGCTCGGGTGGAGGGGAGCGTTCTTATTGGAAGCTGCTTTTATGCTGCCCTTCTTGGTCTACACTGCTACGGCTGCCCCTCCGCCTCTGAAAGGTAATCTCCTGCTCCATTTCTGCTCCTTCTGCTGCCTCTCTGGGGGGGTTGCCGGCCCGCTGCTGGGGTGGAGAGGGGCGTTCTTGCCGGAAGCTTTGTTCATGCTGCCGTTTGTGCTCTACACCGCTACGGCTGCCCCTCCGCCCCTCAAAGGTTACACCCTGCCTGCTCCCTTGCTGCCTCCCCCTCTTCTGCTTCTCTTGCCTTCTCTTGCCTTCTTCTCTCCCTCCCGCCTCTCTCGCTTTCACCTCCCTCCCGCCTCAATCTCTTGCCTTTCTCGTGCCGCGCCACTTTCTACCTCTGCATCTCTTTTTTTTTTTTTTTTTTTTTTTTTTTTTTTCATAAGGTTGGCTTTGCTCTGGAATACCACTACTGGGGCTGGCTGGGCTGCTGCTAGACCGTCTGCTGGTAGTCTGTCAGCCAGTAGATTCTCAGCCAGTAGATTCTCAGCCAGTAGATTCTCAGCCAGTAGTTTGAGGGCGGAGGGGGGCACCATCACTGGCGACTAAGAAAAGTCTCTGTGAGACTGGCAGGCAGTAAGGAGAACTTTTCCTTACTGCGTTCATGGCATGGCAGGCAGGACGCACGCCCATGGAACTGCTGCAGCTGATAATGATGAGGAGAAGGCGGAAGGGCCACCATCACCGGCAGCATCGTCACATGTTGAGGCGACTCCACATATGAAGCATGCCGATGGGTCTCTGCTGGACGATTCGCTCTCTCTCGCTCGCAACGAGATGGGTCCTCGGTACGATGGGTCTTGTGCGGTGCAGTGGTATGGAGTGTGTTATGGAAGGTGTGCTTGGGTTGGGTGCTGCTGCATACATGCCCAGCCTGTGATCCGCAGTCGGAGGCGCGGCGGCGGTCTCTAGTGGTTTTTTACGTGACTCTCAGCAGTCGAAGCACGACGATGGGTCTCTGTTGGACAACCCGCTTTCGCTCGCAACGAGATTTTCACCATCAATGTTCTCGGTACGATGGGTTTTGTGCGGTGCAATGTGGTAACAGTGCTACATACCCACCCTGATCTCCGTTGCTCTGCAATCCAAGATTCCAAGCATGCCGATGGATCTCTGTTGGACGATTCGCTTTCTCTCGCTCGCAACGAGATCTTCACCATCAATGTTCTCGGTTCGATGGGTATAGTGCGGTGCAATGCGGTACAACTATAACCAGCTAGTGGTACCCATGCGAAGGAAGTTTTGAGAAGTTTCAAGTGTTTTTTTTTGTTTTTATCAACGTCTAAGCCTACGGTGCGACTTTTGAGTCGACCCAAAAGCTACCTCTGCAGCATATGCACTTGCGTCTGGTTACAAGGGACCCTGCAAGCGCTCGCTCGCTGCGTAAGCCCACCAAGCGCTTCGGGCCACAGGGGAGGACCCTCCCAACACCCACGCCCCCGTCTCTCCCTGTCTGTCACTTCCCTTTTCCTCCCAGGGTACGCCGCGTACACCTTTGGGATTGGAGCCTATGCCTACTGGGCGCCCAAGGCGATTTTTCACGAGGAGAGGGCGGATGCGCTGTTTGGGTGGGGGAGCCTGGCACCCCACTCACTCGTCACTCTCTTCCTTTTCCCTTCCCTCCCCCACTGGTGCCTTCTCTTCCCTTTCCTTTCAGGTTATGCTGCCTACACTTTCGTAATTGACGAATACGCCTACTGGGCACCCAAGGCCATGAGGGAGATCTTTCATGAGGAGAGGGAGGATGCGATGTTTGGAGGCATCACTGTGGTGACAGGTGTGGGCCATGGGGGAGCCCACAGTCCGACCTCCCTTCCACTCACTCTTGTCTCTACTCCCTTTACTCCCTTCCGTTCAGGTTATGCGGCCTACACCTTTGTGATAGGCGCGTACGCCTACTGGGCGCCCAAGGCGATGCTGGAGACACTCCATGAGGAGAGGAGGAACGCACTGTTTGGGGAGGGGAGGCGCCTCACTCACAACTCCCACCCTCACTCACAACTTCCACCCTCTTTGCTCCACTCCTCTCCTTCTCTATCTGTCCGCTAATCTCTCTCCCCCAGGCTATGCGGCGTACAACTTTGTGATATGCGCCTACGCCTACTGTGCGCCCAAGGCAATGAGGGAGATCTTCCACGAGGAGAGGGCGGATGCACTGTTTGGATGCACTGTTTGGAGGGCAGGCACTTCACTCACGCATTTTCTTCTCTCCCATTTCCTTTGCTTCTTTCCCATTTCCTTTGCTTCTCTCCCAGGCTATGCGGCTTACACCTTTGTCATTGGCGCGTATGCCTACTGGGCGCCCAAGGCAATGAGGGAGATCTTCCACGAGGAGAGGGCGGATGCACTGTTTGGAGGCATCACGGTGGTGACAGGCGTGGGTGGCACGCTGTTTGGTGGTCTCATGCTCGACCGCATGGGCGCCACCATCCCCAATGCGCTCCTGGTATGTGCGCTCCTAGCCTCAGCCTTGCTATGCGTTTCAAGCACCACCATAGTCACCTCACCACCACTGTTTGGAGGCATCACGGTGGTGACGAGCGTGGTGGGCGCGCTGTTTGGGGGCCTTATGTTGGACCGCATGGGTGCAACCATCCCCAACGCACTGCTGGTGTGTATCATGTGTCATGAATGTATGCACCTAGGCTCAGCCTACGCACCTAGGATGAAGCATCAGTGTTGTCACCTGTTTAGTGTTTGGGGGACTCGCTATTTGTGGGCCTGATGCGAGGCCGCATGGGTGCAACCATTCCCAACGCGCTTCTGTTGTGTATGCATGCACCCAGGCTAGGTCTTATGGTGTGCATGATTTTAGGCCCGGGCCTCTGTATGTGTTTAAGCATCACTGTTGCCTCACCTCCTACCTCTCCATGCTTCTTCATCCCTCTCCATGCTTCTTCATCCCTCTCCATGCTTCTTCATCCCTCTCCATGCTTCTTCATCCCTCTCCATGCTTCTTCATCCCTCTCCTTCCCATGTCCCAGCTGCAATCACGCGTGACAGTGGTGGGAGCCCTCTTCTGTCTCCTCGCCTTCGCCTCGCCACACATCCTTATCTTCGTCCTCTTCATGGCTATCGGGGAGTTCTTCATCTTCGCCATCCAGGTACACACAGACCGTAACTAGTTGGTAACCAGGTGGTAACCACACGGCTGGTAACCAAGTAGCAACCAGCAAGCTTATTGCCTTCGCCTCGCCACACATCACCCTCTTCGTCCTCTTCATGGCTGTCGGGGAGTTCTTCATCTTTGCCATCCAGGTAACCAAGTGGTAACCAAGTGGCTTGAAAGCTGGTAACCAAGTAGTATAGTAACTGGCAAGGTGGGAACCTCACCCTCCAGTGGTGGCAGTGGTGGGAGCCCTCTTCTGTCTCCTCGCCTTCGCCTCGCCCTCCATCGCCCTCTGTGTCCTCTTCATGGCTATCAGGGAGCTCTTCATCTTTGCCATCCAGGCAATGTCGGTTGCCTGTAACTGGTAACTGGTAACCAGAAACTTGGTACCCTGTGAAGGTGGTAACCAGGAAGCTGGTAGTAACGTAACAGTTCACCAGCAGACCAAGAGGTACCCCTCTCTTAACAGTAACCAGCAGACCAAGAGAATTCTCAAAAGTGAGTCCTAAGACCAAGAGGTACCCCTCTCTTATCCCACCATGCCCCCTCTCGCATCTCCGCAGTCGCCCTCTCTCATCCCACTCCCCACCCCCTTTCCTCCCACCTCTACCCACCAGGGTCCAGCCAACATCGTATCGCTGCAGTGTGTGCCGTCCAACCTCAGAGCCCTCGCAATAGCCGCTGCAACAGTTGTTGCTCACCTGTTAGGCGACGTGCCCTCGCCGCCCATCCTCGGCCTCCTCCAGGTGCCTTTCTCCCTCAGGTGTTTCTTCAGGTGGTTCTTTAGGTGCTGCCCATCCTCGGCCTCCCCCAGGTGCCTTTCACTCTCACTTGTTTCTTCAGGTGCTGCCCATCCCCGACATTCTTGCTCCCATGCACATCAGCATGTGTTTAGTTTTGAGGCGCCTCAAAACATCAGCTCGCTGGAATGTCTGATTACGCATGAGCATGTGTTCCCCCCTGCGATCCCCTGCCCCTCGTTACCATCCCCACTCTCTGTTCCCCGCCCCATCCTCCCCTACCCACAGGACATGGTGGGCAAGTGGCGCATCAGCATGGGGATATTCACCTGCTGCTGCTCTGTCCTCCCCTGCCCTCTGTCTCGTCCTTTCTCTCCCTGCCTCCTCCCCGCCTTCAATTCCCCTCCCTTCCCTCTGCCATGCGCACAGGACACGGTGGGTAACTGGCGCATCAGCATGGGGATATTCACTGCTGTGCTGCTGCCTGCCGCTGCTCTATGGGCTCATGGTACCTCCGCTCCACCTTCACCCGCTTCCCCTTCCCCCATTCCGCTGTCCCCCACCCCGCCCTTCCCTAATCATCCCTGGCCTCATGTCCCATGGTCTAGCACAGCATGTCACACTGCATCACTTTCAAATCACCCATCACCACCTCCATTTAGTTGTGCTGTATCCTTTGTTCATGTTGCCAACCTCCCTTCCCACTCCCCATGTTGTAGCAGTTGAGTTTTGAAAACTCGCAAAGTTCACCTGCAGCAAAGAGAATCCTGAAAATTCACCTGGTTGTCCTGTGTGGTTTGTTCACCTTGCTAACCTCCCTTCCCACTCCCCATGTGCCTTCCTTTTCGTCCTTTGCATGCCTTCCTTTCACCTTGCTAACCTCTCTTCCATTCTTTTCCTCTGCAGGTGCAACGCTGGTGGCTTGTCACTATCTCCCCCTGCATGCTTCATCTAATCCGCGTGCGATGAGTCGATTTTTGAGTCGACTCAAAAATCCCCCCTGCATGCTTCATCTTCCTTACCTTCCTTCCAAATCCCCTCCTCCCTCTCAACCGCTGCAGGTGCAACGCTGGTGGTGCCTGCTGCTCACGACAACCCGACAGTTCAACCCATCCTCCACTGCAACTCCTCCTCCCCCTCCTCCTCCTACACTCAGCTCCACAGCACCACCAATGCCACCACCAGTCCCACTACCGGTGACACTGACACTAGTATCGGCACTGGTACAGGCATCGACAGCCCAATGGTTCAAGCGCGGAACAGATTGGCGAGTCCTGGCAATGGCAGCAGCATCGAATCTACACCACTTTTTGGTCAATGATAACCATGCGATGTTGTTGTTAGCTAGAGTACTGAGCTGAATGGCATCAAGGGGTATCGTGTTGAACTCAGTTTCGTATCATTGTACATAGCATTTCAACTGCAAAATCCCACGTATGGTGTTCATAAGAAAACCAAATATTGGGGTGAATTGCGGCGCAAGTGCACCACGGCACCTCAAGTTATTGCCGTTAGTGATGTGTGTCATATGGGGTACAACAGTTAGGGTTAGAACACTAATGAACTCAGCAGGTTCAGCATGTGTTAAGAATCCCAAGCCGCTGCGCTCAGTCTTGTTGGAAACAAGTAATTCCTAAAGCGCCTCTGTCGTGTCGAAACATCACACACGAAGCGAAGCGAGTCATATCGAGGCACGAGCGAGTCAACCCTCGGAGGTTGAAAGAGGTTGCTGGAGGTTACGCGAAAGTCAAAGGTCAAGCGACCTTTGACCTGACAAGTACAGCGCGACAGTTAAGGACACACAACTGACTCGTTACAGAGCAGTTGCCCGAGTCGTATTGTATCGAACCGCAACAGCAAATTAGTTACAATCGTATCCTTTCGTATTCCTTGTACTACTATATATTCTTGTATCTCTTTGTTATAATCAACTTACTTTGCTCTCACACACTAGTGCAAGGTGGTTCACAAGTCTTCATTAAACGCTTCCGCTATTACAATAGTCCTACCCCGAATTTACCCCTGCAAAAGATCCTAAGGGCTTTTCTCAGCCCAACATGGTATGAGAGCTATCAGGGGAAATTCGACTACTATCAACACATCACAAGACATGGCAACATACAAGGAGAGGAGTTCCTCTAATGGTTCTCCCGGGACCACTCCTACCCCACCTCCTGCCTCTGGCCTGCAGACAGAGGAAGGAACTGCAACGGGACCAGCAGCGCCTTCAGCCAGCCAACCTGCCAGCTTCGACCAGAGTATGATGGAGAAATTTTTCTCCTTCATGTCGTTTTACGAGCAACACCAGCAGTCAGCACCTGCGCAGTCAAACAACAGCAACAACAACAACGTGACTCCAATGAGTCTTGATGGTTCATCATATGCGCGCGGAAACCAGCAACAACCTACCTTTGCTCCGTATGAGCGCGGGTCCATCAGCTTCATGCCGCAGCCACAAGCCCCACTTGGACAAGAAAAACCACTGGACGCACTACAAGTTCAATCGCAATTCGCGCACGTCTTGAAGCTGCAGACATCAAGACCCTTTGACGGAAAGGACTTCTTTACCTGGTCATTCGAGTTCGAGCTCATGATGGAAGGCGCGCAGATACTTGGGTTCTTCGACGGATCTGTGCCATACCCAATCAACGGTACACAGTATGAGAAGCAGCAGTACACATATCAGTCGATGATGGCGTACACAATCCTACTGAGAAACATCACTCCGAGTCAGCAGCAGAACATTCGATCTTACCGGGGATACGGCAACTCTGCCGAGCTCGCTTACAGCCATCTGAAGAACCTGTATCAAGCAACAGACAGCGTCAACCAGAGCCGATTAATGGCGCAATTGACAAACGTCGAAATGAAACCTGGCGAAAAAGGAATGGCGTATATCAGCCGCTGTCGCGAACTGCGCGACAAACTCCTTCGATGCGGAGGATCAATAGCCGAAGAAGCCTTCGTAACAGTCGTCATCGGTGGCCTCGGTCCGCAATGGCGTTCCACCCGAGCCATCCTTCGAGCTCACGGAAAAATCTCCGAAGCAGCGCTCTGTGCTGAAATTCACGCCGAGCAGCAAGATATGGACCTGCAAGAAGAACGACACAAGAGAAAAACGTCAGTTCCGGAGTTCGCGTTCCACACTCAGCGACGCTACAACAACAACAACAACAGAAACCCGTACCTCCGTTCTGCCATATCTGCAAGACGTCAGGGCACCCGCGCACACACTGCCCGAATCGACAACAGTCAACGCCACAACAGCGACAGCTTCGACCTTCAAGCAGCCAAGTTGCTTCAACGCAAGCGAATCCTACGACCCAGGTCCAAGCTTCAACAACATCAACGGGACAACCTGCACAAGGCGCAAGAAACATCGTCAGTTGTATGGCAAGACTGACCGACTCCTGCATCACCGAATCACCACCTCATTACTCACCGGAAGAACAGCTTGACAACAGCACGCCCCGCCGCGAGTCACTGCAGCCGAACCCGACATACGCCGCTATCGCCCAGAGTGAGCCATCCGGGAAAGACACATGGTTCTTGGACAGTTGCTGCGGACAGCACATGTGCTCCTCGGGTCGCTTCGTTCAACGGGCCCTTCAACGGGAAGTCGTCATCACTGTCGCCAATAATCAGAACCTGCGTACACGGCGACAAGGCGTAGTTCAACTTCAGTCACGGGAAACAAACGTCATACTGCAAATGATGAAGGTCTTGATAGCATAAGGACTTGGTTACAACTTACTGAGCGTCAGTCAGTTGATGGCGAAAGGCATCCACCTCGAAGCAGACAGCACCACACAGGAATTCCGGCTGTTCCACGGAAAGGGCGGCCTCTACATCGGAAAGGCGATCCTCAAGAACAACGTCTTCGTTCTTGACTTCGTACCAGACCTTGGCACCGCTGACAGCGACGGCATCGTCAGCTTTGCTCCTTGGACACATCCTCCAGATCTTGAAACAGACTTCAGCCCCGGCGGCTTCTGGCACTCACACACCATTCCTGAAGCAGAGAGAACAAGGGCGTTAGCAACAATTCAACAAACATCAGCAGCAGCAGAGACAACATCGGCAACAGCAGAGACAACATCGGCAGCAGCAGAGACAACATCAGCAGCAGCAGAGACAACATCAGCAGCAGCAGAGGCAACAACGCCAACAGCAGCAGCAACATCGACACCAATCGCCGGTCCTTCAACGGCACCAATCTCCATCGACGATTCGCCTCCGACACTCGCACAGCAGTTAACCCCGGCACCACGAGAAG